GTCCCTTCCTTGTGACCCTTCTGTGGGGGGATGTCCAACTGTCTACAGATGGGCTTTGGGGCTCCACTCCAATCCCACTCTTTTGCATCGATATAATTGTTTTGGATCTTTTGATACCTGATCCCGTCGACACCTCTGATCACACAGGCTGGTGTGCTTCTTCCATGTGGGCTTATTTGCGTCCTTGCTAGATCGCTCCTTGTTTAACTTCAAGCTTTTAAGACCCCAAACGCTATATCTTTTGAAAGTCAGGCACCCTCTGCTCTTCATCGCCTTTGCTTATGCACCCATTTGCTTTCAGCGAGTGTGTTGGGAAGATGAATATCAAAGAGTATCAGGTTATTAGAACAAAGTGTTCTTGTGTTTAGGCCCAAATTCCATCTATCTTAATACTTAACATACATATATGTACATTGGCCTCTCTCTCTTTCATTGTAAACATTTACATATATACATGCCTATAGCTATGCCTCTATAAATAGCTTTTGCCTCCTACTTCTTTCCTTGATTTCCTTTCACCTTCCTTTTATCCCTTTGATCGCCCCCCACTCGGCTCTCAGTAATTCCTCTTGGATACATTGCACTTGATCAAACCCCACCAGGTAGTCTAGCCCCCTGCTCGCCATCAATGTTAGATTTCTTGTTCGCTTATCCCTGGGTTTGTTGGCTTGCGGCTCCCCTTCTCCGCCCCCTGCTCTCCCTTGTCCCTCAGGGACCGCTGGTTCCTGGTCTGTCTGCCGACTCTTAGGATCTGCTGAGGTACCATCCCCACCCCCTTCGTCAGAAGTCTATTTCCAGGATTTCTCGGGGACTTGGTTACTTTGCTCCCCTTGCTGCCCTGTTACAGTCCCATCATGCTTTGCCCCGCTGTGCATGGGACAGACCAGGCACACTTTCCACAGTGTCTCCAGTGCTGTCCCCATAGCGCTATGGGTCAGTGAGGGAATGTCGTGTCTTGTGGTGGGGCCGTTCCCTAAAGTCCTCTCTGTGCATTGGCTGCTCCGAACAGGGATGTCATCCCCGGGACTCGGTGGGCCAGGATGAGGTCCACTCTCCTACTCTTGACTCAAATATTTTATAAAAGAGTTGTGCCATAATCTTCACAATCAGTTTTGGATCATTTCTTTCATTTTGTGCCCATTGTTAGCTCCCGATGACCCCCTTCCATCTCCAGTCTTAACCCTAAGGAATTATTCATCTAATGCCTATCTCTGTGTATTTACCTATCCTGGGTTTCATATAAAAGAAATCATACACCCCCCCAAAAAAACAACAACACGGCAGCAAAATAAAACACAGGAAGATCTAAATCCAAGAGAAAGCAGAAGATGATAGAAATTAGAACAAATTGAAAATTGGTCCACATTGATTCTAACACAGTTTCTTTGACTGATCATAGCCAAAAAGCCGAGCATCTATCTCACAGTTTGTTATTGATGCAAATACCTGCATCACAGTGCCTGGCAGGCGTTGGATGTAGAACCTGGAGCCAGTGTTCAGGTACAATGACAAACCCAGCCTGGTACCGTGCATCTGCTCGTAAAACACGGAAAACCGAGAAAATGCTGGTGTACATGTCATTGTGCATTAAAGCAAATGGGGAATTCCATGTAGTCCTGGTCCGTTCGTATAGTTCCAGGGAACTTTCTGTATTATCCGCTCATTGATATAACTTACAGTTTTGCACAATTTGATTACTGGAAATAGAATCGTAGATGCCCACGAACTAACGCTTTCAAAAGTTTGTTTTCGTTTAGTTTTTAATTCTGATCTTGGCACAGATGTTAGGCATGCCTTATTTGTATCATGACGAGGAAACAGACAGCCTAACTCACTGCCCGAGAGTCCGTTTTGACTCATACTGACCCTATAGGACAGGGTAGAGCTGCCCCTGTGAGTTTCCAAGACTATAACTCTCTCCATGAGTAGAAAGCCCCATCTTTCACCTGCCGAGTGACTGGCGGTTTGGAAAAGCTGACCTTGCAGTTAGCAACCCAGCGTGTCCCCACGGCACCACTAGTTCCAGACCAGGTGCTCAAAGTTTAAGTTCTAGTAGAATTCCCTCCTCTGATCTTGGATTGGGCGGGTGCGCTCCTTCTGGGTGGCCTTAGTTGATCATGTTGTTTTGGGTGCACTATTCCCCTGAAGATCTGGAAAACCTGAAGAGAAGTCGCTTAAAGTTTCCTGTTCCTATTGTGTCACCATCATAATTCCAAACTCGGGGAGGAGGGTGTGGCCTGGTGCTAGGAATGCCTCATGGGGTGGTTCTGTGCCTTCCAGTTGATTCCGACTCCTATTAGCTGTATAGGGTAGACACTAGATACGCTAGTACGTGATAGGTCGGTTTCTTGTGCCAACCTGGCCAATAGGAACATGTGGGATTAGACAGGTCACAGTTTATTGGAGGGCAAAGAGATAAATGGCTCTGCAAGGCCCGGCCTCCCCCTCTCTTGCTCTCTGGTGATTGGAACATGCGTGCTGCTACAGTAGCTAGTTCTCTGCCTCAACCTGTGAGCTACACTACCTGTGGGCTTGGCCAATCCGTGGATTGTGTGGCCAGAGCTTGAGGCTCCTTCGAGATCTGCTTCGCCACGCTGCTGGTGCGTACATCGCTTGAGCTTCAGGCTGGTGATCCCATCGCCTTGCATTGCCTGCTTCGCTAAGCTCCCAAGCTACTGACTGTTGGTGACCCATCATGCTGCTTGCTGCCTGTAGGCAGGCGCTACTTGTCTTGCCGCAGGGAGGACTCTGCTGTCTGCTTCCTTGACCTTGGACCCAGCAGCTCGTGTGAGTTGAAGGATTTCCAGTATATTGTTCCACGGAAGTGAGTTGAACGGAGCCCTCTGTACTGCTGTGTGGAAGAATTAGCGGTTATATTCCTTCTTGCTGTATAATATATATATCGTCTTAAGTGTCCTGCTTTCATTCCTCTAGAGAACCCTGCCTACCACACAGTAGAACCTGCCTCATCAGGTTTAGTCCACCTTTACAGAAGCAGAGGGCCGGGTCTCTTCTTAGAGCAGCTGTGGGTTTGAACCACTGACCTTTGGGTTAGCAGCCAAGCACTTGGCCATTACACCAACCAAGGCTCCTTGGAATGAATCAGGGAGGCCACAAGCTGAGGGCAGGACAAGAGTCAGGAGAGGCTGGAGGTTGGGTGCCCTGGCCAGGGGGGGTGCCATGGACCAGGCATTTGGAAGCCAGGGTCCGGGGCTGGATGTGGTGGGGCCAGGTGAGGGAAACCTTCTTTCATCCCCTAGGCTACCCGGGACCTTGCCCAGTATGATGAGGCCCATCACGAAGAGTTCAAACGTTATGAGATGCTTAAGGAGCACGAGCGACGCCGGTATTTGGAATCCCTAGGGGAGGAACAACGGAAAGAGGCAGAGAGGAAGCTGGAAGAGCAACAGCGCCGGCACCGAGAACACCCCAAAGTCAATGTGCCCGTAAGGACCCTCCTCCTTCCCACCCCCCCTACGCTCAACTCCCCAAGCACCCGAAGAACTATAAATCCCAGCAGGCTCTGAGGACCAAGCGCCTTTGTTTATGTATTTCATTGCCCAGGGGCCTGCTGGGAGTTGTAGTTTTCTTCTTGGAGGGGGCATGACACCTCCTGGAAGTCTACTTCCTCCTGAGCCCCTGCCTCTCGCCTCTGCAGGGCAGCCAAGCCCAGTTGAAGGAGGTGTGGGAAGAGCTGGATGGATTGGACCCGAACAGGTTTAATCCCAAGACCTTCTTCATCCTGCATGGTAAGGTGGGTGGGGAGGAAGGCTCAAAACTCAGGTTGACCCCTGGAGGCACTGACCTCTCCAAGGTCTGGCTGCTAAGGGGGAGCCTCCCCATCCCAATGGGGCTTATTCAGGCCTAGGAGGTTGAACCCATCTCTTATGGTTGACCAGACGGCTCTGTCCTACCTCGTTGCCCAGGCCAGCAGCTTCCACAAAAAGACTGGACCAAGTCCCCGGGACTAGATGGGCTGGTGTCCAGTATCTGAGAGAATCCGGCTAGCCTCAACCTGGGCGCCCCCTCCCAGGTCAATCCAGAAGCCCCAGTCCCTTCTGGGAGCGTTATGGCTGAATGAATACCAAGAACAAGTATCTTCAAACACCAAACTCACTGGCATCAAGTAGATGCCAACTCTTCGTGACTCCGTAGGACAGGGTAGAATAGCACTTGTGGGTTTCTAAGACCGTGACTCTTGATGGGAACGGAGCAGCTGGTGCCTTCGAACTTCTGACCTTGTGGTTCACGGCTCAATGCGTAACCCACCGCACCACCAGGGCTCCTCAGGAGCATGCATCCTAGACTCACTGAAGTAGGCTCACTGGAGAGAGCCTCAGCTCATCACACCTTCTGTGGAAAAGAGCCCAGCCGGGCTGAGCGCTAGCCCTGCCATGTTAGTTGGCGTGGTCAGGAAGGTCTGGGTTGACCAACTGAACACCCTACGCTGATACCTGCACCCTCCTGGTTTTTGGTTAGAAGTGGAGAAGGGGAGTAGGCAGTCAGGGACTCCAGTGTAGAGGCAGCTGAAGGATGTCTTTGAAAGCGGAGAGATCAGAGGAGGCCACCTAGGGAAGTCCCGTTGCTTAGAACCCCCTGCTTTGTTGGACAGTGCTCCAATCTGGTTTATCCAATATGACCGCCACCAGCCAGACGTGCACCTGACCTGCTCAACAAGCGAGGCCGATGAGAAACGGGAAACTTCATCGTAAATTCCTTACGTGCAGTCAGTATTTAAATTTAAGTAGCCCCATGTGTTGTGGCAAAAACAACAAATAAAAAAACCCCAGATTGTTCCTGTCCAGTTAGTTCCGACTTCTGGGGGGCCGGGGGGGTGGGTGAGTGAGACTGCTTCATGGGATTTTCTTGGATCTCGTCTCTTTCTTTCTCCTTTTCAATAAGATCGTATTGTGTTTTCGGTGACTTTTTTACACAACCAATCAGTTGCTCTTCTGATCATTTCCGTGCAGATTTTCCCATGATGGTTAGAAAATAATAATGTATGGCCTCCTAACGTCCCAGGGGGTGAGGGGACTCATAATCAGCATCTGCCACCCAAGGCTGACTCCTTTGAGGCGGACGTCAGCTGCACTTCCTCTCCCCCACCCTTGATCACTTCTGACCCTAGCCGTCCCTCCCACGGCACTCTCTCTCTGCTGGACTCACTCACTGGTTACAGTGGCCACGATACCTACAGTGATGGAGTTTATTAGGGATGTAACAAGTTACATTTCAGTATCAGAAACAACTTGGGATAGAGTTCTCGTGGTCAGGACAGCCTTCTCTCAACCTATGCCCTGCTTGGGCAATTGTTACAAAGTTCTTTAGTTCCTCCAATAAAGGTCCCAGGAACTCCCCCACTCCCCCAACAGACCTCCTACCCCGAGGCACTTAGCTCTCTTGTCCTGCACAGTCTTCTACCCCTTCTGTTTCTGTTCCTTCTGCGGCCGTCATCTCTCTGTCATTGCTTCTCAAATCTCTTGCTGTCTCTGGTGTTTCAGCTCAGTCTCTGTGTCCTGGGTCTAGGAGGTTCTCACCGTAGGGACCTCAGGTCCAAAGGATTCTTTGAACTCTTGTCTCATCTTGATTTTTTTAAACAGTTTTATTGTCCTATAATTCCTTTGTTGTTGTTGTTGTTGGGGCTCTTATAGCTCTTATCACAATGCAGCCATCCATTGTGTCCAGGGCATTTGTACATCTGTTGCCATCATCCTTTTTAAAACACTTTCTTTCTACTTGAGCCCTTGAGATCAGCTCCTCATTCCCCACCCTCCCCACCTACCCTCCTTCATGAACCCTTGATTTATGAATTTCCACCTCCACCCCCATGTCTTACACCGACTGCTGTCTCCCTACACCCGCTTTTCTGTTGTCCAGCCCCCTAGGAAGAGGTTATATGTAGATCAGTGTGTGGTCTGTAATTCAGACATCATATAATTCGTATTTAAGTCGTATTAAGAAGAGTTGTGCGATCATCACCACAGTCAACTCTAGAACATTTTCTTCTTCTTCCTTGTACTTTCTGTTGGCTCTTCTTGCTTGACGGTTATGTGGTCCCTTCCTCCACCTCTGGGATGGCTCATTTTTAAACCTAATGGGATGACAAAATTGACCAATCACTTTGTTAGGGTTCCGTGGCCCCACCCACACAAGTGTCCCATGCACCTTTTTTACATCGTTAATAAGCTAGCCAATCTCCCCGTAGGCCAGAAGCACTTCATTTACATAGTCCCATCCAGTCGTTTGGTAGAAGTGGCTTAGCTAGAAAGCATAGTAAGGGATTCTGTGCACCTCTGGGACATTAGTTAGGTTTATTTGTTTGTTTGTTGACAATGTGTTCACATTGTCAGTAGTCGTGGTCTGGTTGTTCCATTTCCCCTGCTTTGGTTTCCCTGCCCTTTTGTAAATCTCCAGGTCTTTCTCCCACAGAGCAGCTGGGTGGGTTAAAACCACCTGGTTAAAACTGAGTGGGTTAACACACATCTTTAGGTCAGTGTGTTCGTCTGGGTTGACTAGAGAAACAAATCCAGGAAGAGTCGTGTGTATAAGAAAGAGCTTTATATAAAGAGTAATTGTATATTAAGAAAACATCCCAGCCCAGTCCAGATCAAGTCCATAAATCTGATTTTAGCCCATATGTCCAATACCAGTCTATAACGTCCTCTTTGGACTCATGCAACACAATGCAATGATGCCAAATGCAAAAAGATCACAGGCCAGTGGGTGGAAAGTCTTGTGGATCCAGTGGTGGTGGAAGCATCTCAGTGCTTGTGTGGGTCTCCAAGTGGCTCCTCCAGCTCCAGGGCTCTGGCTGCATCATTGTAACTACGTGTGGCTTATCCGCAGGAAGACCAAGCAGAGAGTGTGTGTCCGGCCTCCAGTGAGCTATTTATCACCTTAGCGCCTCCAAATGAGGTCATCAAGCTGCGACCTGATTGACAGGCTAAACTCCATCCCTTCACTCTTAATAGTCTCAAGTTGACACCAGATTATATAACTACCACCATTAGCAACTGATCACAAACCCACCCAGGCTTCTTGGCTCCAAACTCAAGTCACCGAGCCAATTCTGCCTCCTAGCCAGCCTGTGACCCAAAGTAGGCCCGCCCTTGTGGGTTTCAAAGGCGGCCATTGTTAACAGGAGGTTTCAAAGGCGGCCATTGTTAACAGGAGCAGAAAGCTCATCTTTGTCCGGAGGAGCCACTGAGAGTTTTGACTTCTGACCTTGGGCTCAGCAGCTCCACATGTAACCCACTAGGCCATCAGAGCTCGTGGGCTAGTAGCTGGCATGTTGGATACAGCACAGGTTCGGAGGTTAATAGAGAAGCCCCACTCCTGAGCCTTGGGCTGCAGGTGTGGGTAGAGGTGCGGAAGAAGAGGGAGGCTGCCGGCAGAGGAGACAGAGGGGCTGCCAGAGTGAAGGTGGAAAGTCGATGAAGATGGAAATGATCCCTTCGTTGTTTTTGTAAAATGATGCTTCCTGGTGAGCTCACCACGAGCAGCTCAGGTGCTGATCGGAGCGGGAGACTGAGCCCCTTCCCCACACACGAACTCACAAGCCAGTCGATAGCGAGAGGCTTCCTGGGACCCAAGAGTAGCCGTGACCCTGTGCGCCGAGCTGGGGGCGCAGGCTGAGAAGGCTGGTGTGCCCGGGATGGACACTGAAGCATCACTGTCGCATCTGGTTGCTAAGGAGCTGTCCAGCCTGGCCAAACTCACCTCCGTGGAGTCAGTTCTGATTCTTGGCGACCCTATGGGACAGGCAGTTTCTAGACAGCCTCGTCTTTGCCCTGCGGAGCCTCTGGTGGTTTCAAACCGCTGACCTTGCGGATCGCAGCCCAAGGAGTAACCACTACTCCACGATGGCTCCTCCAGAAGACACCCCGCCCTCCCCCAGCCTCAAATTCAGCTGGTCTCTCAGAGACTTGAACCCAAGTCCATTGGCCTTCCCCCCTGACCCAAGACACATGGTTTCTACCTTCAGATATTAACAGCGATGGCGTCCTGGATGAGCAGGAGCTGGAAGCCCTCTTCACCAAGGAGGTGAGTGTCCTAGAAGCTGTGGGTTCAAGGGACACCTTGATCAATTGCATGAGACCCTCATGCCCGCCCACCCCACCACCACCCAGTCCCTCTGGCGGGAGTTCAGGCGGAAACTACAACTCCCAGCAGCCCTTGCGGCACAGGGAAGCCGCCTTGAGAAGCAGTGTGCCCCGGGGCCTGCTGGGAGTTGAGGTTCCACCTGCCCAGAGGGAGCGTAAACGGGGAACAGGGATGGCTAGGACGGTTCAACTGCCCCGTCCTGCCTCCTGCCTGCAGCTGGAGAAGGTGTACGACCCAAAGAACGAGGAGGACGACATGCGGGAGATGGAGGAGGAGCGGCTGCGCATGAGGGAGCACGTGATGAAGAACGTGAGGAGCGGCTACGCAGACTAGGGGGGTCGGGGCGCAGGGGACCCCCAACTCTTGTCTCTTACCCTACCTGGGCCCCCAGGTGGACACCAACCAGGACCGGCTCGTGACCCTGGAGGAGTTCCTCGCATCCACGCAGAGGAAGGAGTTCGGAGACACCGGGGAGGGCTGGGAGGTGAGGCCGCCCAGGAGGTTCTGGGCCAGGTCCTGGTTCGCTGGCTCCTTCCTGAGCCTTTGGGGAACACCCGTCGCTTTCTTCCTCTGGGGGCCCCTGGGCCCCTGTCCCTGGGTCTCTTAACACCGCTCTC